GCTCAGTCTGCTCACAACACAATGGCAGAGCTTCTTATTATCCTGATCTCTGGCAAGCTACTTATCTTTTTAAGCCTAGTTCAGATTAAAGGGGCTCTTCTGGTGACCTGTACCTGTGGAGGGGATGACAGGAGGCCTCAAGGACACTTTTTCCAGTTGAAGTCAGAGTTGTGTTCTTGCTGTGCATGTGGAGATGTAAGTAGGGTCTGGAGCACTCACTGTCATTCCTGGGATTCCTTTCCTCTGCCCTTAATCTGTATGAGGAAGGAGAAAGCGTGCAGTGATAATGGCAGGATGACTATTACCAATTCTGATACGAGGTCTGGATTTTGGGGGAGGCAGGAACAGGTAAGGCAGAACCTGCCATCCCAGATACAAAGGCCACCTACACCTAGTTTAACCTCGGCCATACAGACTGTTCTTTCACCTTCTGCCTCCTGCCATGGAGTATTAGGTGGCCAAGCAAGGGTGGATTGCCATGTTGGTGGCACTGTTCCAGAGCTCACCGTGTGTAGGTGATGCCCAGTACTAGCTTTCTGTCCTGGAACCTTAGGTGTGGGAGCCAGGGCTGAACATTTGAATTTATGGAACTGGGTTCTGGGGCACCTGAAAGCACTGCCTCGAGGGGCAGTACAGAGGTGGGAGTTTTAGGTGGCAAAGTGTGGATTGCCATGTTGGTGGTAGTGTTCCAGAGCTCACCATGTGTAGATCAGCCCAGTCCACCTCACGGGAAGGGAGCATTAGCTCCATCTCCTCCCGGTGGAATGGGCATTTGCATGTCCAGACACATGGGACAGGGAACAAAACAAGTACCCAGAAACCCTTTTTTCTCACCCATCTTCCTTAGCCCTCCTGCACTTCTATACTTTCTCTGTAACCTCAGGCTAAAAATCCAACCTTCCTTCTTTTTACTGTGTTGAATATGAACATAGAGGAGGCAATGCAATTTTAAAAGGAAATGTTTTAAATGTTTTGGAGTTTGGGTGGGTTTTTTTGCTTGCTTTAACTGAGTGGAAAATCCTGATGGAGCTTATACAACCCCACCTGCAGCTGATAACACAGAGTGGTCACTTAAGGTACGATTCAGATAGAGAGTAAGGCCTCCAGCTGCAGGAGGCCTTTGTCCCCTAAATGTTCTCTAACATTTTAAGTTATCTCTCCCCTTCAATGGGAGACAAACAAGAAACAAGGAAACGGGAATGACCAACACTGGGTGCTAACTTGAGTGTTTCACATCATCCATCCATGTTTCTGCCTTCCCAACAGAAACAAAACAGCTTGCATACCAGAAAGCCATTTCTGTCCTAAACTATTAACATCACCTCCTGCCTAATTAAAGAATCGTGTCTGGGGAACCCAACCAGCAGCATATCCTGTTAATAACATAGAGCAAAGTCTTTGTCTGCTTTCAGCTTGATATGAACAGGGAAGAAACTGAGGACCTCAGCTGCAGTTTCAGAACCAAGTTTACAGTACCGGCTGCTGAAGACAAGGCTGGGGCTCTAGAAGCATTACTTACACTGGGGCTGCTGAGGGGGAAAGGGTGAGAGCTGGAAACAGCAGAACAGCAACACAACTTTTTGAAGAAGGAATTTTAGCCTTTATTCACATTTGCTGCTATTTTCAACAATAAATGCAGCTGGGATCTAGAACTAAGTACAACGAAGAAACAGAGATGTACAATGGCATACTGTCTTTCCTGCAATATCACAGCATGAGTCTGTGTCAATCAAGGATAATTCTCCTCACCCCCAGACTAGACACATACACCAAAGCTGCCTTTCTTTGTCAGAAGAGGATTCAAAATCTAGACCTCTTCTGTACAGTATATCCCTTTATCAACCCAACCCAAAAGTTTCAGAGGGTGTGTGCTTCCCACTATATCAGACCATGGGACACACAAAAAAGGATTTAGAAGCCCATTCTCTGCTTACAACAACACAAGTGGAATAAGAGATAAGAAAATGCCCTGTTTGGGGCGGGAGGGTTAAAAGGGGGGGAATCCAGGCTGCATCCTGAAGGAGCTGCTCTGCAGTATGCAACATGCTCCTGAGACAAAAATGGGACATGAGAGGACTCTGCTGCAGTGCTGTGTTAGGTAACCAATGCACCAGCACTGCCAGCTCCAAAGCCTGGTTTTCTCCAGTAAAGCCCCTGCTGCCTCCTCTGTGCTTCCCTGATGTTCAAAGGATATAGGGAATTTCAACAAGATTATTCAGAACCAGATTATCTGGAAAGCACAAGCATGTTGGCTATTTGTTAACATCTTAGAAGCTACTACCCTGTGAAAATTAAGTGGCATGCCAGAGCTGGGTGTTTTGTACTGCAGCCTAGAAAAGCCCTGCCAATATTAAGAGTCTTGTTGCACTGAAGTGTGATCTGTCTACCATAGGGAAACATTCTGAAATGCTTGAACCAGCTATGGGGAACAACAAAACTGAGATGAATAATATCTGCATAAACAGAAAAACACCTCAAACTGACCTTCAGTTTATATTCTCTTGGATAAAACTGAACATGAAACAGTGATGCCACCTGAGTTTTCAATAAGATCTGCTGAAATAAACCAAACAAGAAATACAATACAATCCCAGAACAAGCTGAAGTATGGAAATTGCAAAATCTTCATCTTCCAATGGGAGATGATCAGTTCTTCATAGTTGGAAAGCCATCTACTTAAAAAGAAAACAGGAAATACTAATAAAGCACACCAGCAGGTGAATTCTGTTTGTATGCACTCAAACTCAACTAAAAGGAACATCAGCAGTTTTAATACCCCAGAAAAAAACACTAGAAGCTTTAACAGTTTTGCTAGGCACTGCGGAAGTATCCAGCAGAATTAGGTTTTCTAGCTTCAACAACCACAAGAAAGAAGTAAGTACAATAAAGTATATCATCTTTGTGCAACAAATCATACTTGGGGGCATTTTTTTATTCAGTTAATTCAAAATTGGGTTCCCAAACCATCATTTAGGAGTACATAGACTCAATGTGTTTCACATTTCTCAAAGCACTGTTTTAGTTGTGCTTTGGACATTGGGTAATATTTAAGGCAAAAGCCATTTTTAATGCTGCACTGAATACTTTGATAGCATCACAACTCTTGTTAACTGCTGCCTACCATTAGGTTTAGAAAACAGAAGGTTAGAGCAAGCTGTTCAAGTAAGTGTGACAGCCCCTCCCTAATGAGCATAAAAGGACTTTCCAGTCCAAAACACAATTTCCAATGAAGTTCTTCCTTCCAAATTAACAAATATACAAGATCTAGAAACATTCAGATCCAACCCTAGGCCAAGTCAGCCAAATTAAAAAGCAAAATTCTGTCACGCTTTACTTTAAAGCTGAAGTTGTTATACGTTAAATACTGTGTAATACAGCTTGATATGAAACTATTATGTGTACAACTCTGGACATTCATCAGCTTGCAAGAACATAAGGCTCTGAGGTGGTGTTTCTCAGTGGACACTTACCCTTCAGGAATGTCTGAAGCTATACGCATACTAGAATTAGGACAGATGAGCTTGGAGCAGAATCTTTTAAACATATTACATGTTTCTTACTATGGAAAGATGAGAATTCTTTTCCCCATTACCTACTAACAACTTGCCTTTTTCACAGCTTCCTCATGATGGAAGTAAAAATTGTTATAGGTCAGCATCTCTTTAGCAAAGCAACAGAGAACAAAATCTATCATAGGAATAATGACTGTAAAGCCCACACACCATTTAAAAAATACCAAATCATTTGACAGGGAAAGCACAACACATTCAAGGCCATTAAAACCTTAGTAACTAAAACTATTTCCAAGTGTGAGATTTTATTTTATGAGTGTACATCCATATCTGCAGCCCTGGACAAGTCAGTGGATTAATACAGAGTTCTCTTTTGTCAAATTTATGTTGATTCACAGAGGCATCTGTAAAAGCTCACAGGGCAGTCAATGGGCAAAGTAACAAACTTATGCCGCACTAATCCTTTCAAAAAGAAATCAGACAAACATGAATCCTGGTTGAGATTCTTTCATGCTCTTCATTGCTTTGCATGTAAAATCCTATCCCATGCCTCTGTGTATTTAACACAATCTACAGTCAGTCTTTCTGACAAGGACTGAGGTTAATGTCTTATAAGCATCTATTAGTATATTTAATGCATCTATGGAAGCTTTTCTAGCCCAAGCTCCTGTTTTGTCTTACTGGGCAGAACCGCTCTACTCTTAGTACAGTTCTAGTATCTAATGTACAGCAGCTCTGGTCAAGTTAAGGCTGTGTTATGGTTTGCTTCTGCACTACAGTAACATGTGCACAGGCAGCTGACTTAGAGAATTCAGTCTGAAAAGCTACATTGAATGGGTGGCAAAGATACTCAGATATGTAAAACTTAATGCTACTCATCTTGGAAGAGGTGGTATTGATTAAAGCCAGACTTGACTCCTTGACATCCTTGAAACAGGGGCTTTGAGACTAAAATCAAGGCCTCAAGAATTTGATGCAGTCTGGGGAGGAAACAACGTGGAAGAATGAATATTGTACAGGTTGTGTTTGTAGGCAAAAGTGAAGCTGGAGCATTGCTAAGAACATCTGGGACAGTGCAGGAAACCTGATAGTGGCACTGCTAGCAGCCCTAAAGTAAGCAGAATACCAGGCTTATTAGGAGACTGAAACAAGCATCAACTGCAAGATGTCTCCTACAGGAGAATATCCCTGGAATTCTGGGCTGTGTTTTTAGCATGTTCAGCTTGCTGCAGCTTCCTGCAGCATCCCGTGTTGTGTGTTCGTACAAGGTGTCCTTTAAAATGAAAAAAGCCCTAAAAGAAATACAGTCTTATTCTGTTAAGATTTCTACTCCAGAACTCATCCATCACAGAGAAATCCTCAAGTTTTAAACCAAAATTGAGCCTCTGCGGGGTTACTTTTATGAACTGCTACGCAAGGACTGGCCATTAGGTGTCAGCTTTGTACAGAATATGTTTGATAGTCTCCACTAAGTTAATCAGTACCATAGTTGACATAATAAGCCCAGCAGTATACTTAAAGAGTGCACAGAGCTAGCAAGCCAGCCTGTTTACAGATGTTCTGCTAAACAGCAAGTGATGCTGAGAAGCTATTGCTTCCGTGGATTCATTCACATCCTTCTTTCAGAGCTTTATACTAAGTTACTTACTAATCTAGTCAGGCTGTACAGCTACACAAATTTGGGGATAGGGGGAAAGGTATTTCAATGTATTTCTGTAGGCTAGAATATCCACTTATTTACATGCCTTTTCTCACTTCTGACTGGGTTTCCTTAGAAGGGCAGAGGTCCTTGCCACAATGGTATTGATGGACAAGCCACTTAGGATACCATTGTTGTTTTTCCTCACCTCCAGCAAAGCAGCCAAAATTGCATCTCTAGATGAATAAAAGAAAGAACTGTTTACATAACATGTTGTGCAATACATTTAGGACTTGGTTACCATGGATATCTGATCCATTAGAAATCAGGGTGGAAAGGAAATCCAAATCCTCTCACCTGCTTGCCTGTGGATGAAGTCCTCTAAGTTTCTCAACTAATTTGGTAAAACTGCTCAAGTTCAATTTATCAGGTAAAACAAAGGCATCATATGACTTACTGGAGTAAGAAGATGTTTTGAACAGGAAGTTTTCTCCAGTATCCTAGAATTGCATCAAATAAGTACAATACTTCACTCATTTTTGCAAGTAATACATCACTACTAATAAATATTCCTGATATGGAAAAAGAAAAAATGGCAGCTATAGATTCAGCTCAATGTTATTCTGATACAACCTGTCAGTCATATTATCCAATCTGTAAATTATAGAATGGGTTGTGTTGGATAGATTATTTATTAGAAATAAAACTACTACATGCAGATCCCACTTGGAGCACTGTGTACAATTCCGGTGTCCTCAGATCCCACTTGGAGCACTGTGTACAGTTCTGGCGTCCTCAGCATAAGAAGGACATGGAATTTTTGGAGCAAGTCCAGAGTAGGCCATGAAGATAAGTGGGGCCTGGAGCACCTCCCACACAAAGACAGGCTGAGAAAGTTGGGGCTGTTCAGCCTGGAGAAGAGAAGCTGCGTGGAGGCCTCAGAGCAGCTTCCAGTATCTAAAAAGGGCTAAAAGGATGCTGGAGGACTCTTCATTAGGGACTGTAGTGATAGGACAAGGGGTGATGGGTTCAAACTTAAACAGGGGAAGTTCAGGTTAGATGTAAGGAAGAAGTTCGTCCCTGTGAGGGTGGTGAGGCGCTGGAACAGGTTGCCTAAAGAAATGGTAAATGCTCCATCCCTGGTGGTATTCAAGGCCAGGTTGGACAGAGCCTTGGGTGACATGGTTTAGTGTGAGGTGTCCCTGCCCATGGCAGGGGGTTAGAACTCGATTATCCTAAGGTTCTTTCCAACCCTAACTATTCTATGACTCTATGATTTCTATGTAACGACATTACCACGACTTTGAATTAGATCATATATACATTTCCCAGGGGACTATAATGTTTAAAAGCTAAATCCCAAAGGTAGCATATCTGTATAGTTCATGAAAGCAACACCAGTATTTACTAACTGCCTTATCCTTCAAAGACCAAGCTGAGTGAATATAAAATACTAAAACAGAGATGTTTCTTAGATTTATATTAAAACCCCCAATAGCTGCCCCTCCAGTATCCCAAAATCTTTCTTGTATAACATTACAAGACAGTCACTTTAAAAAAGTGTTACCAGTGGAAACTCGAAAGAAAAGCAGGATGAAAACTCAGGGCAGATTACTGGGTTCTCAGCTGGTTTAGGATTAAGAAAAAACACATGGAGTATCACAGTTTGATGCAGGAGCAAATGACTGGTGCTCTCTTCTGCAGCAGCATGCCAGGAATTTATTACTGACACATAGTATGTTTTCCTATCCTATCAACATTCTCTACACACTAAAAATGCAGCGTGTTGCAAGGTAAGAAGTTTTAAAGCTCTTCATTTGCCATATGAAGGATCCTTAGTAATAATTATTTACCTTTTGTTTAACTTCAAGCAAATAAGGATCTTCAGTAGATGGTTTGCCATCAGGGCACTTTGTTTCTGAAGGTACATGTGTAGAGCAAGAGGTTTTTGAAGAAGTTATTTTCTCAGAAGCAGAAGCAGTGACGGGGGCTTCCACAGCACTGGAGGCTGAAGTGAGTGTGTTACTTTGATCATTTCTCTGACTCTTCTCAGCAGGTTGGATTTCACGCAAAAACGTATTTTTAAGCACTTGGGAAACCACATATTTACTCTCTGGTACAGTAGTTACAATTTTAACAGTTATTTCTTTTCCTTTTATCTTTTTCTGGTTCATTTCCTCTACAGCTAACTTGGCTTTATTAATGTCTTCAAAGGAAATAAGTGCGCATCTATGGCATAAAATTTAAGAAAAAAAAAGAAAAAAGAAACTAAGTAAAGCACATTAAATTACTCTTGGTAATAACACATGACGGTTCTCAGCTTTTGAGCATTAACTGTATCTCCATTAAACTCAACAGAAAATTTCAGGCTCAACTTCTCATAAGGTGAAAAGCTGTCTGCAGTGACAAGCTTTTGTCGACCTATCTATATCTCTGTTAATTACTGAAATGAATGAACAACTATGTCCTCTCTCCCATGATTTGCTTACTTTGACAGAAAAAAAAAAATAATCTGAAACAAGTAAAACCTCTATTAATATACCTGCAGTTATTAGATTCCGCAAAGACAAGAATGTCACAAATATGATACTTCTGGAAATGTGATCTTAGATCAGCCTACAAAATAGAAGAATATTTGGTTGGAAGTATATGATATGAAAGAATTCAGAAAAAGGCAAGACATTACTGCATTGTGTAAATAAGGACATACCTCTGACACTGAGGAATTTAGGCCATCAACGTGAAGAAAAGGATACTCACTTCCACTCTTTGCTCCTAACAATGAATGTAAGAAAACAAAGTCTTACTATTTTTGTTCTAGTTCAAGCTAACATCTCAGTAGATTTCAGAAAGCTATCACTGGGACCCAAGCATCCAAACACAGACCATTCCCTCTTCAGAAGTCAGTGTGGAGAAGGGAGCAGAAAAAGGAGAAATGGGAAAAAAAAGAAAGATTTCCAGCTAGGTGACTGGCTGGACATTTACTAAATTGAGTTTAACCACTGTAGGTGAAGTTTTCAAGGAAAACTGGATGGAAGGAGCTGAATATCTGTACAAGGATTCATGGCAAGTCAATGGAAAAGAATCTGAAAACCTAGCAAGCATTTTTTCCAAGCTTACCTGTGATTGTGGAAGGATCACAATACTCAAATAACCAACGCAAACCATTATTAGGTACAGCAGCTTAAAGCAACCTCACCTCTTAAATCAACTGTGTCTTCTTGGTTTTTTGTGTCTTTGGCTATTACTGAAGAATTTGCTACTGTCAAGTTCTCTTTAGCATCAAACCAATCTTCATTCCCTTCTTCATTTTTCACACAGCCTGGACGGTTGAAATAAATTTCAGTGTGTAAAAATTCAGACCATAATATGTCATATGAATAAATAACAAATCTCTGTGCTTAAGAAGATTCCAACTACCTGCATGACTTGATACTACATTACAAAGGGGTGGTACATACCAGTTTTTCTTTCTGATTTAAGTAGCAACTTTTTTTTTTCCAGTATGTCAAGTATAGATACAGAGAGAGCTGATATAACGTTAAACATTCCATCACAGAAAGCACATCTGAGTATCCATATATGTTTTACACAGCGTTTGGGGTTTTGCTAACAACTTAACCAACAAATACTTGTATGAGAAGCAGATGGCTTACCACGTTCCTCACCCTGATCTTTAGGTTGTTCTTCCAAAGTCTTGGATGAAGCAGAGTCACTTGGCTCACCTCCATCAGTTAAACCTTCAACCTGTGGTTTGTCCTACAAACATGTCACAGCACTTGCAGCTGATTATACATTATTTTTCTGAGCTTCAAAATATCAATTGATTAAACAGGTTAATTTTTAATAGTTAACCAACTGATTGTCTTCAAGAACCCCCAAGTTACTTTATTTTGAAAGGACCATCAAAATTCTGGTCACATGAGCTGCTTTGGCAATTACTGACACAGAATCCCTGCTTGAGCCCTTCAGACTGTGCTCGTATTTGCATATACCTAAAAGGAGACCATGCTTCACAACATTAATGTCTATGGAACTCGGTAATGAGGAAGCCCATACCATGGTGTCAGAAATCTTCCTTTCTTGCAGTTCTGATGCTTTAGAATCGGATTTTCTTTTGCCTGAAACAGAACTAAAACAGTGCCAAGAATTTTATACAAAATATGGCACAACTTTTTTTTTTTGTTTGTTTTAAATTCTACAATGATATACCAAGTACTCTGAAGTCTTCATTGAAGGCATTTGGTTGCAACCTGAAACATAAAGCTGTGTTGCAGGTTTATGTTAGGTTATTTTTCTTTTATACCTAGATGGCTTCCTGTGTGATGTTTTGCTGGGTGTCTTTATAATTTGAAATCTCTGATCAGTTTGTGATTAATTTTATTAATGCTTAACAAGAAATTTGAAAAAGATCACTAGTTGTTTACCTGATGCAATAAAAACTTCTTGATGAACTTGTTTTAATATCCACTTACAGGAAGTAACAGGATATGGTTCTTAAACATCCAGAACCATTTGCCTTCCTGGAATGTTAAATGATTTTTCTTTCTTCTTAGCTGCATTATAATCTCAGCAGAACAACTGCTTGTATGCCTAATTTTATCTTCATAGATATATATGAACATAGATGTGTTCATAGCAAAGTCTTTTTATTCTGGCAGAGGTTTTGAGGGTTTTTGGTTGGTTGGTTCTTTGGGGTTTGGGGTTGTGGGGTTTTTTTAACACAGATAGCGTTAAGATTAGAGACAAAGACTTTTAATAGTGAAAGCAGGGAACCAGGAAAGTTATCTGTAAATTGAAAATTATTGCTATAAAGATAGTAAAAATGCAGCTGCATAGTTTGCAGACTAGAACACTGCAGAGTGAAAATATCCTTAAATCACTGCATGCAGAGTGCTATGCAAGTCTTTCAGCTAAACAGTTTGGAGAAACAAGATACATCCTGAAACAAATAACGTGTAAGATTAACTTCTCTTAACCTCACTTCTTTATTTTAAAACATACCACAAATGAGAACTACTTACTCAGTGCAGAGATCCTCTCTGAACAACTGTCAAAGAAAAGATTTGTCTTAATTTTCTGGAGGAAAAGAATTTCTGTTGGAAACAAAAGCAATTAAGAAATTACCTTGGAGGGGACGTATGAAGAGTAGATTTGGAAAAACTTCATCTCAACTGATAGCGGAGAAAGTGCACTTAAAGGTGCACCCATTTTTATTTTCATTTTCATACTGTTGTAATTCTTTTCTAGGTCTTCCAAAACCAGTGAGAGAGATGAATCTAATTCTGATTTTTCATTAAATCTGTTAAAAAATGTGTAAGAAAACAAGATGAACTTAGACTTTTATTTTACTGCTTCTAGATTTGCCCAAATATTTCAAAGATTCCTCTATATCATGTAAGAACATGAGCTCACTCCTAACACAGAATCCCAGACTAGTTTGTGTTGGAAGGGACGTTAAAGCTCATCCAGTTCTAACCCCCTGCATGGGCAGGGACACCTTACACTAGACCAGGTTGCTTCAAGCCCCATCCAACCTCGCCTTGAACACATTAGTAGTTCTCTGGAGCCCCACTCTGTTTCACAGTATCACAACCTGCTCTCTTGAGCCCTCTCCTAAGCTACAGAGCAGACACTATACTGAGGAGGTTTTATAGCTATCCACAGCACAGTAAAGCGTTCAAAGGCAGGACTTCTTGGCTGAATTCCAGGTTCATTACAGGGTGTATGCTTTACCACCTGGAGTCTGCAATCACCACCCCCTTCCTGCCTCACCTCATTTCTTTTTCTCATTTACCACTTCCTCCCCAGTTCCCCCTCTGTGCATCTCATTCACTCCTGAATGGACTCTCTATACTATTCCTCCTGTAGAGAAAGTCATTCCTGGAAACAAACTATATTTTGCTGGGTCTGTGTATGCTACAGAAAAAATTAGGCCAAAAATAAAGACTTTGCAGTTACCAGAATGTAAACTCTTTTCAACAACAATGCTAACTATAAAGACTATTAGAAGCTATGGATAGAATACCTCAGTAACATTTAATAATTCATGCTTTTTAACTAAGTTATCCATTTCATTTAAAAGGACATTAAAGTACATGCCTGATAAAACATCTGTTTTCCTCCAGAGCCAGTTTGTAAATCTTCAAGCAGTGCTGATAACACATATGAAAATGAACATTCAGAATCTGCAATTCTGCTTTGATCGCTCTCTCCAGTACTTTTTGACAGTCAGTTGATGCAGAATTCTCCACAGCTTGTTCATCAAGGTGTACCAACCTTTAAAAATAATAAATAAAACCTTGAAGCCCTTCAATTAGTATTTTAAGTTCTGATTGAACTCAGCTCTCCCCACACATCAGGTTCTCCTCTCATCATTCCTCTGGCCCTTCAAGTGGGCTTCCTCCAGTCAGCCAGTCTTTTATAATGTAAGGCCCAGAGCTGGAGATACCTTTCTAGACACAACCTCACAAGCACCCAACTGACAGGAATCAACACTTCCTTCCTCCACTGGCTGCATTCTTGCTAATGCAGTCTCAGGACATGGTTTCCTTTCTTTGCCATACAGAGGCACTGCTGACTTACACTCGACTTGTTGCTGGCCAGTCTGCAATTGCAGACCGAGGATGTCTAGGTCTTTGTTCAACTTCAGGAGGTCTTCAGCTCATGCTTCTCACTTGTCCAGGTCCCTCCTACCCTCCAGCATAGGAACTACTGCCCAGCAGTCTTTTAATACCGTAAGTTTTGCTAAATTACAGACAACCTTCTAACCATAAAAAACATAAATAACTTACCTAGCATCTAGAATTCTAAACCAAGAACAATTTATGACCCACCTGTCAGTGCTTATCTGTAAGACACTGCCACTTGTCTCAGTTTTGGGTTCCTGCTGTTCCTAAACAAAAATATATTTCAAAAGGTTCTGGATTAACATTTGTATAGACCGGTTGTGAGCAACTTTCAGTTTAAAATAGTTCTATCAAAATTCTTTGGTTGTTGGTTGGGTTCTTTTTGTAATTACCTGAATTCGTGAACTTCTTTCAGCTATTGCAGCGTTGCCATCTGAGGGTTCTTCCCGCGTGTCAGTAACCCGTGAATGAATTTCCTCTGTACTACCAGCTTCATACGAGCAGTCTGTATTGCAAGCAACATCTGCACAGTTTTCACAGCACCATCCCGTCTGTCGAGATGTGTTCATCATTGTTATCTCTGTATTAATAGCCCTGGATAAGAGACGAACCTGAGCACAGGTACTTCTGCTTGCTGTAAAGCAAGCTCTAAAGTCAGAACAAACATCAACAACCTGGTTAACTGCAGAGGCACAGGCAGTGTTTATCAAGCTTTCACAATGCTCCAGCTCTGAGTTCAGAGAGCTGAGATTTCCAAAGGAGGGTTTATCTGCAAGTTCTGCCCAAAAAGAAGGTTTCTTGCTAGTGAGAATTTCAGAGATTGCAATATGGGTTTCAGCATCCTTTGCAGTGCAGTCAGTGCAGGTGGTACCATGTGTGCACATGCCAGATTCTTCACAACTGCAGAAATCCAAGTCCTTTGCATGTTTGCAGACTTGCATGGGTACTGCAGGGGCCCTTTCTCTCAGAGACAGATTGCTTTGCTTCGCCGAGGTGCTGTCGATGTCTCTGCCAGTTTTTGCAGACATTTCTTCAGCTACAGCCATTTGGGGTGGCAGCGTGCCATCAATCAGTGACATGTCTTTCACCTCTCCATCTTCTAAACTATCATATACAAACAGATTTGGACAGACCCCATGAGAATGACTTTCAAGTATATTTCCACAAACAACACTACAATACTCTGTTTGCTCTTCCTGATGATCACAAGTCATGCCACTGCAATCTTGCAGAGACAGAGAGTCCTGAAGCAGGTGGGGAAGCTCTGGCATAGCTGCTTCTGGGCAGGTCTGGTCATCTATGATATACTCAGAAGCATATACTTCTAACAGGTCTGTGAGATTTTGTTTGTGTGTGACTCCACCCCCTGCAACTTCATGAATGGGGTCTATCAGACGTAAGGTTTCAATTCCTGTAGTTACCCTTAGTTCAGAAAACTCACTCGAGCTATTCTCATCATCACAATCTTGCTCGTGAGCACTGAGATACTCTAGCTGTGAATCTTCACTCAAATATCTTTGTCTGCAATGGTCACACCCCCCGCAATTGAAGTGTGTATCATCAGATGCGCCTTCCAACCCATCAGCTTCTTTCTTGCTTTCATCTACCTTTGCACAACAAATTCCCATCCTCTTTTTATTACACATTTCTGCATCTGAATATGAAACTAAGTACGGTAAATTTTCCTCTGAGAACTTTAATTCAGGAACATTGGCAGAACATGCCTGGCCAAAACCAGAGTGGTTGGGTCCTGCTGCAACATCGCCGATGAGCATGTGCTCAGCTTTCTCAGAGTAAGAAGAAAGAAGGAAGGTCTGATTGAAGCATCTTTTTTTGCTTTTAACATCACTGTTCTTTTCCAATGCCATGGTACAAACACTTGAGCCCTCTTCCTCAGCAGTAACCCACACCACTCACTTCCACTGCAAGTTCTCAAAGTCCTCAGCTTCTCTCTTCCTATAACTTTCTCACCTTAAAAATTAAGAGAAGTTTGAGGTACTCCATGGTATACAAGAAGACATTACTGTTTAAAAAGTGCATTAAATTAACCATCTTATTTTTACCTACTGCATGCCAGTATAGAAGCTAGGAATTGTACAATACTATAGGTATCCTAAGAGCTTGTGGAAGGCTAAAGAATCTGCTATTCTTGCTTGTGTGACTTCTATTGAGTAAAAGTATCCCAAAGACCAACCAATCCAATTTTCTTACACTTTTGGGCAGTTTCCATCCTCTTACCACTGAAACATTTCTTGTCTGAATCATCAGAATCCCTGGTGATACACAGCGAGCTATTTACATCATATGCTAAGTTCATGACAGCACACAAGGTGCTTAGATGCATGCACTGACTCTGAAAGTCAAGGTGCTGATGGTTGTGGATTCAGTGACCACAGATGACCTCATGTCATTCCTGACTGCAAACTGGCCTGTAAGTACTCCTTGCTGCAGAAAGCTTACAGCTTCTTGAACTGATCAGTACATTTGTTATAGGTAAGACCTGTCAGGACCTATAAAAACTACTTAAATGTGTGAAGAGGTGGTGATGGTGGCATCCACTGGTTCTCCTCCACTAAGCATCATCCTTAAAAATAATTAAAAATAATAATAATAAAACCCATTTAAATTATTTAACAGAAGTCATCGAAGAGTCAGCCACCCTCCAAAAACAGTCTTTACCATTATTTTATTAGCTTTAGTACTCTAACTTTACCTTCATCTCCTAACTGAAGTTTGAAGTGAAACTAAAGATCTTGCTGTAACACTACTAAAGCAAGTCTCAGATGGCTACACAGAAATTACAACGTATTATCACCGTGATCTTTATTCCCCACTTAAGAACAAGAATCAGAATAGCTCTATCCCTTAGATAAACAACAATAACCCTGTTACTGTCAACAGCCTAGGCGGTTAGAAACCAGGTCTGGTATTAAAAACACAGCTCCTGCATCCCAGTGCGGTGCGGTGCGGGGAGCCACAGCGGAGCGCCCGGGGCCAGAGGGCGGGGGCAGCCCTCAGGGGCAGCCCGGTGTGTCGCTCACACAGGGCACCGCAGCTCCGGTAACGAGCCCCTACCGGAGCCGAGCCGCTGCTCCCTCCACCCCTCACCTCACACACCAACCGCTCCGCAACGGACCCGCTCAGCCCGCGCACAACGGCAGCCCGCGACCTCTGGCCCCGCCCGCGCCTCCAGCCCATTGGCTGCCACGGGAACCGCTCTAGCACCTGATTGGCCGGCGGGGCTCCTGCTGCCTCCCGACGCCAGGAGGGTGGTTGGGCGCTGCCCCCCTCCCTCGCCCTCACCTCAGGGATGTGCAGGGTCCACCGTCAGCGTGGTGCTCACCACAGGATAGCCCAACCGCCATTAATAATGCCGTTTATTATGAATAGTTGTCAGTTCTTCCCCGCTTTCCACCAGAAGCTTATCTTGAAGAGAGGGATACATAAAGATGTTAGATGTCTCATCTTATGTATGCTTTCTGAAGCACTTAAATGAAACATAACAGTTTTATGTTATAGTCACTGGTCTCTAGCTGGCTATAACGTTATGTAAAGCACAGCAAATTACAGTCCTGTCTGTAACTCCTTCCCCTGTTGAGAGCATGCAGACTTGATGCAAACTCCACTGGGTGCCTCACTGATGTCCTGTCCCCAAAGCAAAGCCAAGCTATATTTGCATTAATATGTGCTGGGAAGAAGGGGGAGTGATTTCTTATCTTGGCATATGTGATCCTGACCATGACTGCACATTTTCTACTTTCCCTCCAGGGTTAAAGTCAGACTGGTTTGATCCTGTGAGGGCCAGCCAGGGAGGGCTTCTGGCACTGCCTCCAGATAATCTTTAAAGACTGGTCATTACAGCTTCAAATAAAGGTGGGATTAGGCCGGCTTTCGAAAGAACACGTTTACATTGCACCAAGTGCCGCTCAGCCAGACCTGGCAGGTATCAACAGCAGAAGAGGTGACGGTGCCCAGAGCATGCTAGGGCTTGTTGGCAAGGAGTGGAGAAGGAGCCTTGAAGGCAGTGGTGCCAAAAACAACACCCACAGCCCACGCCACCCCTCACCATCCCTGCAGGCAGCTCCCCAGCCACAGGCAGCAGCTGGCAACGGCAATGGGAAGAGGTGGGGTCTGTAAGAGAACAGGCAAAGGGTGCTGGAGAGGGGCTCTTCATCAGCGACTGTAGTGATAGGACAAGGGGTGATGGATTCAAACTGAAACAGGGCAAGTTCAGGTGGGATATAAGGAAAAAGCTCTTCCCTGTGAGGGTGCTGAGGCGCTGGCACAGGGTGCCCAGAGAAGCTGTGGCTGCCACATCCCTGGCAGTGTTCAAGGCCAGGTTGGACACAGGGGCTTGGAGCACCCTGCTCCAGTGGAAGGTGTCCCTGCCTGTGGCAGGGGTTGGAACTGGATGAGCTTTAAGGTCCCTTCCAACACAAACCAGTCTGGGATTCTATGATTCTATAAGAAGTGCCTTACCGAGAGCTGTGATAAGCACACACAGAGATAACTGACTGGATAGAGGTAACTGAAGACTGGGTGGGCACAGGCACCCAGCAGAGAAAGTCACTTCTCGCTGTGGTCCAGACAGTCATCCTTTGTGATCAGGAAGAAAAAACACATTCTCCCACCAAAACTGCATTCATTGGCCAATGAGAGCAAAATGTAGCTTCATTCACAGCTTCTTTCCTCACCAGGGAAGGATTTCTTGTTCATTTTTTTAAAGAGCACCCTCAGCAGTCATTATAGGGACTGGGAGATTTTGCTTTTCCAAGCAATGGCTTTTTACTTGCAATGAGGCAGCAAAACGAGCCAAGGAGAGCTGGATGGGTTTCCCACAGGAGCTTGCTGAGATGAGCCAGGCTGGCCTCATGCACCCTGCTGTGCCCCATGTACCCCAGAACACCCTGAACACCAGCTCCACTGCAGATGCAGAGCGTTCCAGAGGCTGCACATCCTCCGGTCCACAGAGGTCATGGGCAGCTTCAGATGATGCTGTGCCTCATCAAGTGGAAATAACCAGTGTGTTACAGCTCTCAACTCTTCCTGTAGTGCCACAAAAACATTCCCAAGCGAGCCCTGATAGGAAGGCTGTCTTATTCCAGAGTTTAGAGGGAGTGGCAACCTGTGACACTCCCAAATACGTGGAACAGAGGGAATAGCACAATGCACGGTGTGTGAGAGCAGAGTGCTTGGGCAGCAGGGACCTCCTGCTTGGCAGACATCGGGAAGAAGGGCACCCCCACCTCTTCTGCACCACAACAGGTAATCCTTCTTCCACCCTAGGCCAGGCTCTTCCCATGAATTTGCATGCTATTCTCCTGATGTTATGCCACAAAAATGCTTTCCGTCTCTCCTTGCTTTTCTGAAAGGCTCAGAGTTCAGTGAAAAGGCTTTGTTGAGTAGGCATGCAAATGCTCCCTCAGCTGCCTTCCCTTGAGGAAGGCAGGGATGGCAGCAGCAGCAGGCGATGCAACAAGGGTTCTCTGGCCCAAGGGGGTCAGGGTGGATCTAGGGAGCTCTTCTTCCCCCAGAGTGTGGTGCAGGCATGTGAGGGGGGTGTCAGGGCTCTGCTGAGCAAAGCCTCAGCCACCGTGACCTCATGCTGACAACACCCCACTGTGAGCTGGAGGGAGGACAAGGGGGTGCCAAGGTCCCCTCCAGCAGAGCAGCAGTGCCGGTGTGATCCTCCAGGATCACATCACAGGTGATGCTCTAGGGACAGCAGAAGGAACAAGTGGCCTTCACCCCAGCTGCAAAACCACCGGGAAGTTCCTCCCAAAGAAGACAGAAGGAAAATGAGAAATCTGGGAAGTGACAGAAGCCTGCTCACAGGACTCCTTTCCCCAGGAAGATACTCTGCAGGGAAGCAATGGGGTGAATGCAATACCTGGCCCTGGCATCTGGCCCTGGTCGCTGCTTCCCACACAGCCCTTCACAGGCACATGCGTTCAGACAGGATTGGGTAGGGCTCCATGCAATTTAACTAGTCAAGCATGTCACATAAGAGCTGAGGCACTATTTCTGTCACCAATTTGTTGTCTCCAACAAGTAAAGTGATAGTAAGATGGTTTGTGGTAGGAACATGCTCAAACATATACTTCAAAACCCTTCCCAGGATGAACAGCAGGTCTCCTGGGACAGTACTTTAACTCGGGTTTACAAAACCAACATAAATGTGTCCTGGTGTCTCTTTCATACTGGGTAGAGTCCAACCAAATCGCATTATCTGATTACATATTAAGAACAAAATCTCCACGGTCCTGCAACTGAAAATCGGGTGGTTTACTCTTGATTAGTTCAGCTATCAGTTTAACCAAATAATCTATTCATACAAGTCTCTGAGACATCATTTTATATGAATAGTCTATAATCACCTCCTCAGAAAATAGATTTGCGCAGGTGCTTATAGCTGTATACATACATGTGCATTTTTCTGAATACAGTGATCTGATGGAGAGTGTGTGATTAAATGGGATGGAGTTTGGACTCTGGCATTGTTCAAAATGAGCAAAATGAGCCATTTTTAGGACAAACTAGAGGATTTCAAATGTATTTCACCTGTTGAGTGGACAGATTGATATACTAACAGAAGTGCAGGGCCTGCCAAGTGAAATGCAGGCAGTCTCTGCTTCTGTGTCAGAGCTGTCAATGTCTCTCACACTCATCATGCTGACAGTGTTTTGCAGGGTACCATGATGTGGCTGTTCGTAACCATTGCTTATGTAATGTGTATCAGTGAAAAGTCAAATGCGAGTCCTGAGGTGTCTATGGATGTTGTAAGTCCTGACTTCTCTCTCTTCTTTTCCTACTTGGGCATGCAAGCTGCCTACGTTGCCATAATCTCTACAAGACCCATGGTCTCTGTGTGTACATATTCACCAAGGCTTGGTACAAGAGTTTTATTAGAGAATTTACTTCCTTGTGCTCATGTACATGGAGATTTACAGCAGACATTATGGGAGATTTGGGTGAAATCAACAGGGTTGGTCAATGCAGCTGTCTCAGGCTTGGAGCTTCACTGTCGTTGCTGCCCTGCTCTAAGAATCCCAGGCTGGTTTGGGTTGGA